AGAATTGAGGAATTAAAACGGGGAAAACACTTTAAAAGATTCAAAAAAGAAATGGGAGAAACAAGAAGAGGCTTGGGGGGAAATGACAGGATTTAGAACAGAAAGCTCTCAAATTAAACAGTGGGGAAAGACAGGGCAAGGAGGAAAAATTAAATTATGGATTCAGAATATAAACCTTGAAGTAGATGGAATGAAAGACTTAAGAGGAAAACAGGGGAGACAAGTTAAAAAAAGATAGGATTAAAGGAAGGAATGTGGATAAGAGATAATGGTTAAGGGGAGAAAAAGAATTAAAGAAATGTCATGATTATATGGTAATAGTTGTATTAATATTAGAATGATATGGTTCATTGATGTTATTATTAAAAGTGTATAAAATGACTATCATGTAGGTAAAGTGAAAGTAGATATATTTATGTATGTTAAATAAATTTTAAAATACAGTATATAGAAAGGAAGAGTTAGAGAATGGTAATATGAATGATAAAACAGAGTATCATGTCTTTGAATATAATAATATGGACGATAAAAAAAAGAAAAATATTAGTGGAAGTTGAGAATGGAAGGGTGTAAATCAATGTATCACAAAGTCAAATAAGTTAGGAAAAGAAATATGAAAAATAGATACAAAGAATGAAAATAGTGGTAAGCTTAAAATGTGAGGATGTAAGAAATTGATATTTAGACGGTATGCTGTTTGATTAATGAAGTGATGTTAGTATTAAAAATAATATTGCAGTTGCATATATATGATGATGTGTATAAAATTATTAAAATGAAGATTAATATTATGGTAGTATAATTATGATGATCATTATTAACAATATATGTGTAAGTGATTAAGTCTGTTTCTTTGATTTTTGAACGCAATTTAAAGAAGCTGTATGGTTATAGTTGAAAGAGATTCTAATTGGAAAATACACCATATTCTATAGGTATTGGGAATATTATATGCAACAATGAAAAGAGAGAGGGAAATGGAGTGAAGTGGAAGAGAGTAGGAGAGGAGGGATGAGTGAGGGTAGAGAGGGGAAAAGACAAAGGTGAGTGGGGGGAAGGAGAAGAGTAGAAAGGGAAGGAGATAGAAGTGGAGAACAAGAGGGGAAATAGAGAGGGGCACAGGAGAAGAAGGGAAGAAAGGCAAGGAGAGGGATGTTGTAAAAATGGGTGAAATATGATGTACGGGAGAAAACAGATGGACAATTTTGTATTTTTTTTTCTTGAGGGTTATATTATTGAAACTATATTGGAAGATAATACGGATGCCAAAGCACATTGGTTTAGATGTTATTGCATACTAGTTAATATTTATATGAAAATTAAAATTTTGTGTAAAAGGTAAGGAGTAAATAATATGAAATAAAGAAAATGGAATGTAATAATTAGGAATATGTTTATATGTATTTAAATATATGATACTCAAACACTGCACCATTCACACAATGATATGTATAAATTAAAAAATAATAATAAAAACTTGATTTAAAAAAAGTTCAAGAAAAGAATACAGCCATTTTATAATTTTCACATTTAATTAAATGCATTTAATATTTAGCTCATTGGTTTGTAATAAATGACAACCAATAGAGTGAGTAATATCTTTGCTTTTATTAGCTAAAAACTGGATTAAGAAAAAAAATTGTTTTCCCATCTCCCAGCAGAGGTTAACAAATTATTTGGGATTTCATCTTCTTTTCCCATTTCTTATTTGGTTTTCTTTTTTCTATTCAATATGAACAGTCTGTATGCAATAAACATAACATAGTTTCATAATGGTCCCCTTCTAAATTTTTATAGTTGTATTTGGTACTCAGGCAATCCCAGACACTTGTCTCGTTTCTTCATATTAATTTTGGTTCTGTTTTATCATCTGTATTTCCTATTAGAGGGAATTTATTCATTATTTCATTCATCTTATATGCTTCCCAATTTACCAGAGGTGTCTCTAGGCAGCTTAAAATTATTACAACTTATTAGTTGTTAAAGTTCACAACACTTGATAGCAAAAACTACTCCCCCAACATGTGCCCATAATGACAGATTGTTATTTGATCTGATATTTTTGATAATCACTCTCTTTGAGGGGTCCTTGATGCTCTCTGAGCTTGCTTGTTTTCTTGCAGATGTTTTATTACCCTAACAAGGTAACATCTTTTTCTAGGTTTTCTTCTAGATATATGTTAGAGAGCCCTTTTAAATTCTTTGGCCTCATAGCTCACTTTCCAACTTCCAGAAGTACAAACTGCAAATTGGATAGATAAATCACCATACATAAATTCTCAAGTAAATGCTGCAGCCTGCCTCCAGAATGGTAACAAATATGGAAATATTTATTTGTATATGTACCAGATGTTGTTCCGCTACTATAAAACTGGATAAATTTTACTTTTGTCTCTGGAAAAAAAAACTACTAAAGAGAAATTGTAGTATTTTACAAAAGTTCTCAATTCTTATTCAGAACAAGGAAGTCCTAATTCCAATTTATTCCAATTTTTCTCTTTATTCATTTTTGCCTTAAAAAGTTTTTTGCTTTCTCTAATTCTTGTTAAATCTGAAATGTTTTTATATTTTTATTGTATTGTAAGCTGCCTAGAGTTGCTTTGGATAGTTAACTGCATGGCACATAAATTTAATAAACCAACGAACAAGATTCCTTGTTACAAATTTCTGACCCCAAAGGTCTTTTCAAAATTCTCATTAAACAAACATCTAAATAATAGGTTATTTTCTTGTTTTGTCTATTTGATTGAGTGGCCAGTACCTAATTCTAATTGTGATTTGTTATGACATCAAATCTCACAGGCAGAAGTCGTCCATTTTTAAAAAGAAGAAAATTCACAAATTAAGCAATTCAGTTCCATCGAACTACAGATTCCTCTAGCTTGCTGCATTTCCAGAGTGATCCACTAATTGCTTTAATTAATTGCTTTCCTTTCAAATTTTTGGCCATGGACCATTTTAAGACATTGTCTAGCCAGATGTAAATTGATATCATTCTTACCAACTACTTAGAAATGCATTCAATTTATAATATCCATCTTGGGGGAGATTTTGAATGACAGATCTTATGGCTAAGCAATCTGGACTAATTTGTGTGAAATGTGCACACCTGTTTCCAAAGGCTGGGGATTACAGTTTTAATCTATTCACTGATTTGCCTTCTTTAGAGTATTTTATCACATTGAACATGCACCACATGTGGTAATTTTAAATAACAACAATAAAAGCAACAACAATAGAGTAGGCCAGCAGCAGTTAACATTGAAAGGGTGACAACCTGATAACACTAATGAATTGTCCCATTTTATGAAATTGGGTCAATTTTTTGGAGGTTTGGATACTTTTGAAATTGGTGGAGCCGATCACATGGCATGTTCTTTGGATTTTGTTTGGTAAAATTTGTAACTTTATTGCAAATGAAAAACTATCCATTTCTATTGACACTATTCAGAGAGTTGTTTATAGGCCAGCCCAATGAAACTTTTGTTTGTCTGGATTTAAATGTTCTTACTTCTTCCAATCTGATCTATAGTTTAAAGATCACTTGGAGAATGTCAGGAATTATCCTGGGATTGCTGACTAGCGCAGAATCCAAATACATGGAGATACATAAATTATAATGATTTATATGTAATAAATATGTAGTACATAATTATTAATACAAGTAATTTTTAATTATTTTTGGTATACATCTTTTTGTAGGGAGCAGATGGTTCTTAGGCATCATCAATAGAAAACTGATGTTCTTGATGTGACTATGGTGCAGGTAAGGAAGATATTGATATATTTTTTCGTGGTGTTTGTACTGTTCATGGCAAAAGATAAGAGGTATTTTATCAGTTTGGCAAACGTCCAACGTTATTGAAGTTTCACTAATTCTTGAATGAAATTACTTGTATTGATTAGAACAGCTGAGATAGATGCACAAATTATTAATATAATCATTACTGTGAAACTCTGTTCCTAAAGCAAGCTGTGTGGATCTCTTTAATGTCTTAAAAGTGGGAAATCCTTTCAGTCAAAATTTATATTGTAAATTGTTAGCCAACACCACTCTTTACTTAGCACTTTCAGAACTAAGAACCTTATGTAAGAATCTATTTAATTTAATTAATAGGTTTTCAACATAACACTTACTGGATCATGACAACATGATTAGCTGGAACCTAACTCTAAAATTAAATAATATAACCAAGCAATGAAAAACAGTAGTGATGACAGTGAATCTCCTTGATATTAACTCTCTCATACTATAACTACTGATCAGCAACTATGTCTTCTATTGTACCACTGATCTTTGCACAAAGTTTCTGACTTTCTACTGGCTGCTGTTGTTTCTAGGTATCTGATTATCCAAGCATGCACAAAACCAAGCCTTAAGAACAAATGCAAACAACAATAGACAGCAAATGCCACCTTTGCAAAGAAGCTGAAGAGATAGTGGATCATCTAAGTCACTGCTGCAAAAAAAGACTGCATAAATTGACTACAAATAATAGCATGATAAAGTAGCAACAATGGTGCATTGGAATATTTGCAAGAAATACAATTTGTCTGCAAGCAAGAACTGATGTGACCACACCATAAACAAAATAATAGAAAATGAAGAAACTAAAGTGCTCTGGGACTTCAGAATTCAACAGAAAAGCACCTACTACAAAACATCCTGGCTTAATATCTGTTGATAAGAAAGACAAAAAAGTCTGGATAGTGGATGTTTCAATAGCAATAGCACTTAGACTTATATACCACTTCAGTACTTTATAGTCCACTCTAAGTGATCTATAAAGTCAGCATATTGCCCCACAACAATTTGGGTCCTCATTTTATCAACCTTGGAAGGATGGAAGGCTGAATCAACCTTGAGCCGCTCAGAATCGAACTCTCAGAATCTAAACCTCAGGCTGACTGAGCATCCAACCTTAATAAAAGTAATTGGCCAAAATTTCCAAAGATAATTGTTCCCACAAGCAATTTCAAGAGATATGAGATTCTGGCCATTTAATGTTTAGAAAAATATATTTTAATTTTTTTTGTGTCTACAGTATGTGAACTTATACAATGGTGCATGAAAGGGTTCTTTATTTTTGACCAGCTGTTTTAATTATAACAAAAATAACCAAAGAGTTACAAGATTACCAGATGTAATTTCATTACAATTTTTGCTTCACAGGAAGAAACAGAATTTAGCAAACAGCGTAGCAAAGTAGAATGTGGATTATATCCAAGTACACTCTGCAATAACTCTATTTCTCAAGATTTCAGATTTGGAATAAGCGGATTCATAAGAATATGTCTATTGGTTAAAGAGAATGAACATAAATGATTAATATGTTGGCCCAATTCTCAGGTGTTAGCAACTTTGAATAGGACATGATCTCTCATATCAACTAGAAAGACAGTTATCTGAGGTACCAATAAAGGAGAATATTTGTATCTGAGTGTTGAAATGAGAGTTAATCTGTCTTTTATTTCTGAAGGAAAGGTGTGATAAACATGAATACATGTTCTGAAGATAGCCAAAAACCAATTAATCTCATATTTTTTGTTTTTCATCAGTATTCAAGTTTCAAAATATTCAAGTTTTGAAATAACTTCCTGCCGCAAATAATTTAAAAGCAATTTGGGGCAATGACTCATCTAATTATAATTTGACTTAGATTTGATTTCTTAAGATAAATCAGAAAAGGACAAGATATATTTCCTTGTATTTCCTAAAGAAATGAAACTATTAGGGAACATGATAGCAGAATTTCAGATGGCTTCTGTCCAAAATTTCAATCTACTTCTAATTGTTAAAGGTCCTTAAAGCCCAAAATTGTAAAAATAATGTGCTAGGAGAGATTATCACTGCTCTTGTTGGCAGGAACAAGTTCCTGGAATTATATGAAATTTAAATGTTACAAATATCACACCTAGAACCTATACATGAAATACTAGCACATTCATTTGTGCTTCTGAATAAGAGAAAGCCAATAGTTTATAAATGTTTCATTTGAAACAATTTTCTTTCAAACTTGTTATTATTATAGAAATTTTCCATTATGTGTTTGATGTTCTGAACTTGTTACAGTAATAAAAGATTTTCAGATACAAAAGCTATGTTTTTCACATTCAACAGTAACTCTTCTGATAATGGAAAACTTCAGAAACCAAATATTTCAGCCAAAAAACTTCTTTTGTGAGTGAGATTACAAGCAGTAAATTACTATTGTCTTGGACACCTGAGGTGGCATCAGATTTCACCCCTTTAAGGGAGATCTTATCAAACATTTTCCTCAGAATGTAAAGCGCTTCTTTCCTGAGATTGAACCAACAGACGACTCATCATCTAACATATCTGTGAAAATCCCGCAAAAAGACATAATTTGAAACATGAAGGAGTATTTATAAAGTGACTGTCTTTGAACCATTAAAGTAGCTGCATCTATTTCTAGGCTCACCTAGCTGCTTTTTAAATTGCTTCTAGCTGTTTCTGTATCTGTGCCCTTTTACCATCATTTTGATTCCCCCACCCCTTCAGTTTTCTCCTTAGTTAAACCTTGGGTAGGCTTTGAGAAGTCAGTTTTTAAAAGTTCATTTCAGGAATCGGAAAATAACTGGAGGACTTATTATTCAACTTTCCCTTTATTGACTTTACCTAACCACATTTTTTTTTCTTTTTTAAAGCCGTTATTATTAGCCTTTAGGTTTTGCTTGAACCACCCTTCCCCAACTTCAGTTGTGCGTTTTACAACAGTCAATCAATGACCATGAACTACAAACTTCTAGGGAAATCTAGATTAGGAGGAGTTGGGTTGGACTTCGTTTTTCTTTGTCAGGTGACATTTCATCTTAAGATCACACCAAGTATACAAAATTGGCTATATGATTGCAAATCTTTTGTCTGAACTGCACATCATAAGAAATTTTCCTGAGTCTCTTAGATTATAATAAAGTATATGGCCAATTTTTATCCTGCAGGATGGTATGTTATTTGGTAATTAAATTAAATATTACACTACTCATAAAATTATAACTTTTTTTTACTAATCTTGGCAGATACAATACACAGCATGAAATGGAAAATAAGTCCTAATCTTTTCTAGCTTTCTTTGACTAAATTAGGAAAAACATTGGGAAGAAAAGCAGGGCCTTTGAAATTCCCTACCAACAAGTATAATTTGAACAGGATATTGAATAGGCACACACTTATCTAGTCACAGTTCCTTCTGCCACAGAGAGATAAACTTTATTTTCACCCCTCCCTTTTTTTTTGGTCCCTTTAAGTCAGAGTTTTTGTCAAAATTCTGTGAAGCTAAGTGATGCTTCAACCTATTCATTTTGCTTCTTCTTCTTCTTCTCCTCCTTCTTCTCCAGTGAACTGTGCAGAGTTGCAGGCTTGATGACCACTGCAAAACCATGACTCAATCAATCAAAATTGCAAAAATGCATGGAAATGAAGAGAAAAAGAGAGAGAGATACACACATACAGACAGAAATACAGAGAGAAATGCTCTTTTTCCTTGGTGGAGTTTGCTGTTCAATTAGATTATAAAAAATAAGTCTTTCATTCGTTTTCAAAATGAATGCACCTACCTATTCAGGAGCATCCACAGGATGTGATTTAAAAAATGTTAAAATAGTGATAGCGATAGTATAATTGAGGTTCTGCCATTTTTTAATGTCCCCAATTCAAATAAAAATGGCCGGAACTTTAATCCTACCATCATTGCCACTATTTTGATTACAGCCTTGCACTTGCTCCCTGTATATGAAATTTGTATCCCTCTGTACAGATATATGCTGTATGTTTTTTTTCTTTTTTGTTTACATACAATAATTTCTGAAACCACACTGAATGAGCATTCATGGAAAGAGCATACTGATGCCAAAATGCATATTTTGCTGCATCATAGCCAGTGCAGTAGAATAACATATCAAGAAAATTGATGTTATCAGTCATGATGTCAGAATACCATAATACTTACCACTATGTTATATGAAACCCAACAGGAACTTTATAGAGCTTATCTCCACTTAGATGAAGGATGCCAGTGTTGCTAAAGAACTTCCACTTACATTAACCAGCATGGTCAATGGTGAAAGATGATAGTGGTACCAGCCAAGTGTTTTGAAGATCATACATTAGCCAATGCTGACTTAAATGTACATGCTTTTAATCTGTGAACGATGACACACTCAAAGCTAAAATAATGAAGTTGTAGTCCCAAAAGAGCTGGAGGGCACCACGTTGAGCAATATTGATCTAGTTAATTCTAAACTTGAAGAAATTTTCCCCTTTCTTTCTTATACTTAGAGAATATAATACAATTATTCGCTTGGAGTCTTTCTCACAGAAGTGAACAAGACGTCTCCTCATGTAAGATTTTGTGGTCAGGAAAGGGAAAAATTTATTTACAGAGACAAAAATAATGAAATGAGCTTTAACATTTTCACAACAAAGCCACTATAGTTTATTTCTAAATTTTTATTATTCAATTTTTATTTCCTTTTTTTTTTAATACGCAGTGAACATACCTAATACTCCTACCTCCTATTTTCCCCACAATAACAACCCTGTGAGATGGATTAGGCTGAGATCAGTGACTGACTCAAAGTCACACAGTCAGCTTTCAGCTTAAACTGGGACTAGAACTCACAGCATTCTGGTTACTAAAGCAATGCCTTAACTACTACTCCAAGCTGGCTCCCTATAATAATACTTACAATAATAATATTTATAAATTTTTTTAAATAAAATTTATAAATATATTCTTGATCACCTTGCTCCAATTAGGTGCCCTCCAGGTGTACTGGACTACAACTCCCTGGATTTTTAGCAGCCACAAGTCAATGCTCTTGATGAACTGTGACTACATAGCAATGATGTGCCAAACCCTTGTTCCAAGGATGGTCTAGAAGTTTCTGCAAATTAATCTGAACCGGAAGTGGTTTGCGGTATTCTGAGAGTGGCTCTGCCTTGAAAACAAAAGCCACTTATGTTGTTTTGGACGCATGCTATTCTGGCGGTTCCATTCTCCAAGTGGTGGGTTTTGCACATTCTAAATACATAGTAAACCAATTTAAACAGAATAAAGAATGAATACAGGAAAATACATAATCGTATTTTTTACTGAATGAAATAACAAGTAAAAATCATGGTGTTATAGTCTGTTGTTTTTTTTAAAAAACAAGAACCATAGATGTACTGATATGAAATGTAGACGATTGTATTATAAAGATGCTATCTGAGAAAGCGACTGAACAATTTGAAACCTGAAGCTGCGGATAATACCTTACCATGAGCCAAGTACTGTTACTATGTGTGTAAAAATACAAATTGTGAATTTTATCCATGCAAAATGTAAAAAAAATCTTAATAATTTTAAAGATCTCAGGGTACATTTCTATTTTGCATCTGAAGAATTATTTCACTGGGACTTTGTAAAAAACATTTTTTTCCCATTGAGAGTAGGAATGGTTTTATTTGTTGTTAAAGAAAATATGGCTCTGAAAGGCAGTCAAAATTAGGGCACTGCTATTAAATGAACCACTTTCTCTTCTGCAACATAAACATTTATTTTAATGCCAAGGACTATTTTACAACTCAGTGGAAATATGCAGCAATGCAATCTATTTCCATCGTCAGGATGACAAAAACAATGCACTCTCAACAGCCACAAGAGCCTGCCTTGTGTTAATGATAAAAATATATATATTTATATATATATTTATGCAGCTACTATGTGCATTAAACAATATCGCTACATGAATTTGTAAGGACTGAAATATGTTTCATGTTTTTCTAGGGAAGAAGGGCACTGGTGCAAAAATACTGCTCTTGGAAAACTGAAAATATGTAGATAAACTGATTTTTTTTTGTTTCCTGTGTTCCAAGGCCATTCTTTTTCCAATATCAATCAAATATCTACCTCTTCTATTTTAGTCTGCCTTTCTGGGTATAAATAATGCCCCAAAGATGGAAGTCCAATCCTCTGTGCCAGATTCATCTGCAAGAATATTCTCAAAATTTAAGAGAGTAGCTGCAATTATGTGATTGAAATCCCACTTCCTTTTACAAGCACTGTGCCTATGGTATAGCCATCACCTGGATTTTTAAAAAAAAACTCCTTCCCTAAATGTTCTGTATGTAATTATTTAGTAATAAGTCTCAGTGAGCTCAATGGGATTTATTTATAACTAAGTGTATACCCATGCACCCCAATTTCCCTCCTGTGAATATTTAAATTGAATATTAGTACAATTTCACTATATGTTTCCCTTGGAGAGACTAATTTCATCGCATTCTTGCTTCTTCTTTTCTGTTTTTCTAAAGCTTACAGATCTCTCTAGTGCTTTGTCAACTATAGAACTATAGTTGTGATTAACCAATTACAATTTAAAGGTCTACAGAATACAAGAAGCACTTTTTCTGATTATATTTTATAGCTACGTATTAGAAAATTAAAATGATAGTACTCATGGAAATATAAATAGGGACTAACCTATCTTATTTGCATCAGGTTGATTTCACCAACAGATTAATCAATTATGGGATTGCCTTGAGGCATGAAAAAAACCTTGTAAGTTAAAAACAAAACTATCTTGCTGCATCAAATACTGTGAGGGAGCACTCTTCTGAATTAAAGCTGTTGGTACATTTTCTGGATTATTCTATATCTTTTCTTGAAATAAAAAAAATGGCAAATGTGTTCTTTATTTTCAGATTGTAGGTGTTTCAGAGACATGTTTCTGAAATATTGTATGTCAGATGGCTCTGAAACAAAGCACTCTGTAAAGGGTCATCATTTAGTCCCCCCTCCCCTTTGTGGTTTCTCCAGAAATCCAAGCTATTTTCCTCAGGTTACAGCAGCTTCAAGTTTCTTTTTTAAAATGTGAGGCGGAATAAACTTCTCACACCAGTAGGCCAGTACTGGTGATTTGTCACAGAATAATCCTAGCATTGCTCTGATACAATGAAGCCTTCCTTCTCACCAACTGGTTCCACTTCAGCATATGAGGGGTGTCCAGATCCTCTCCGGAATTTCATTGCAGGCCATCTGCTTGGACGACGCTAGAAGACAAGACACACACAAAGAATTGACAGTACTGGAATTGTTCTGAATAATTACCACACTTATTCCTATACAGGTGGTCCTCAATTTACAGATACAAGTGAGACCAATGTTTTGTTGCTAAGCAAGGCAGTTGTTAAATGACTAGTCCTCATTTTAACAACCCTTTTTTTTTTGCCATAGTTAAATGTATCACTGAAGTTGTTAAATGAATCATGCAGTCATTAAATGAATCTGGTTTTCCACTGATTTTGCTTGTCAGAATCTTCTAGGATGGTCACAAATGATGATCACATGGCTCCAGGATGCTGAAACCATCATAATTATATGTTGTTTGTACTGCCCAAATTTGACTGCAGGGATGCTGCAAAAGTTATAAATGTGAGGACTGAGGATATTTTTTCCAATGTGTTGTAACTTTGAAAGTGTTGCTAAATGAATGGTTGTAAGTTGAGTATATGTGTACTGTATATATACAGAAAAAAGAAAACATCTATAGAAATATTTCAACCAAATCACTTTTAAAGACAATAGAATATAAGTAGTTCTATATACAAGCGGAAAGAAGGGTGAATATTTTTTTTAGGGTGGAAAACTCTTTCCATTTTTCAAATACATCAGCAAACTTTAGCCTTAAAAAAGAAAAGACTGAATTGGGACCCTGAAGTAAAGAAACAAGTTTTTTCCAAGAGGGGAAGGAGAAATAATTCAATAAATAATTAGAGGAGGAGGGAAAGCCAGTGAAAAGATGATGCTATTTTTTGTTTGTTCAATTTTAAAAATACCTTCCTTCTGTTGATGACACTGAATAACATATCTCACATTATCAATTTGTCAAACACTCTTTTCATCTGGCAGTTACCTGCATCATATTTCCTACCTCTAATCAAGTGGCCTAATGCCAAAATATTATTCCTAAAGGTACTCTGTTCCTTGCTTTTTCAGTATTGGTCTTAGAAGTAAAATGCACTTAGAACATTTGTCTCCCAAAGGCACTCCTAGATATTCTGAAGAGCAATGTTATAATTCCTAGACAGCCTTTTGAATTGGAATTAGGAGAGCCCAGCTGAACATATCATGAGATAGGATAAGTTTCACTTCAGAGTTATAGGGATTATTTCTATATGACTGTGGAATGATACAAACATGACAACTAAATAAATGTACTAAATTAACATTTGTCAGTAAGATCATCATCACACACAGAACTCATGACAAACTATTTCCAAGATTAATCAAAGTCTGGGGGGATATGTGGAGGGAGAGAAACCATGAACAGAAACCAGCCATTTTCCAAAAGCTATCTTTATAACACAATGTTGGTGGGGGGGAGGGGGGGGGAAGTGATCCATGCTTTACCAGATCAAGATACACTCCCTGTTACTTATCACATCATTTAACAAAATGCAGATTAGTTTAATATAGCACAAATAATATCAACACGCCAGGCAAAAACAAAGGCTAATATTACTTGGTGTCTGAAAATATTGGACTGTTTCAGGGCAGATGATAAAAGCTAGCATTTCGCACTACTGTAGGCTGTAGACCAATTATGAAAAAAACAATTTACCTCAATGAAGAAGAGACTGGCTGCAGAGGTGGGATGGTGATACATATAAACAATCACAAGGATTGCTGCAGCTACTATCAGAACCAGAATGAAAATCCCAACAATTAAGCCAGTGTGAAGAGAGGCACTTTTCTTCTCTTCTGCGCTGTCATCTGTAGAGGCTGTGAGAAAAATAAAGATTAAGCTTGGCACAAATTCATTTCAGGTCTTTTATTTTCCTCATATACAATAATCTGTTGCCTTGACAAAATGAGGCATGCCTTTTCTGTGCTAAATACTCATTATAATATCTCTGCAAAGACAATTTCCAGATGTCCTATTATTTCTAGATTAATAAACAATATTAATGTCCACTTCTATTCATGCCACTTAGGTACACTCCAAATTAAATCATGCAGTATCTCAATCTTTTGTTTCATAATAACATATTAAAAATTACCTGCAGACATGCATTACTACTTTAAAAGCTAAATGTCATTATCAAATCTCATGGCTTCTGAGAAGAATCAATAAAATCTGAAATGTACAAATTACCATTTCTAAACTTCTGTCTTATTGTGGAGCATATGGGTATTAAATGATCTATCAATAGTCTGATTCTGAAGAGAATCCAACTAGCATATAAAAATATTGCTAAAAGCCACAACTCTGCTAAGTTTTATAGTATTATGTGCCATGCTGTGTATTAATAAAAAGAAATACAAACATCTGAGGAAGTTTTGTCCTGCAGCAAACCTATCTCTCTCTAAAATTTCCAACTATGGTTCTGATAAATTTGGTTATTGTTTAGTTACTTGTTAGCAGTTAGTTAGCAAGCAGTTTAGTTATTTAGTAGCTACTGCCAAATAGCAGATGGCCAAGATTAATTTGGATTTGGATAATCCCCAAAACAAGATTAATATCAAATTTTATTTGTTACATTTTTATAACAAATAAAACACTACAGGATAAATAAATGAGGACTAGCTCTGTGTTCCTAGGACCCCTTGATATCTCTCAAGCCTCTCTGAATAGCTCACAAAAACAAAATTATTTGCCATGTTAAATTGAAAATATATTATTATATTATAATAATATAATATTAAAATCCCACAAACAATCGTGAGAAGCAAAAGTATTAGTTTTAAATTTTAATACAGTAAATAACAATAAATATAACCCAAATAAACTTTTTATTATTTTCATAATAAAAAGTGTGAAGGGGCCCTGAGAGAAAATGTTTAAGAAACTCAAACCCCTTCACATTGTAGAAGCACATATAATCAAACCAAATTTCCTTTGTTCATTATAACCTAAATACCAATTATGCAAAGATTATAGAATTAGCTAAAATAGCACAGACAGAAAATCCTGATAATTTGCTATTGACTCAGAGAAATTTTGTTTTACTATTGAGTGGCTACACATTTTACTAAAAACAAACCCAAAATACTTGTTTATTTTTGTCTAATATATATGCTAGTAGAAAATTCACATAAAAGGCCATTCTGGATAAATTTCAAGTAGTGGAATAACAAGGATTTAACCTTCCAAAGTCCATTGAGACATATTAATACGAAACCAGTTTATTATTTCAACTAGATTAAAATTGCCTCAAAATAAGGATTAATAAACTGCAAGGCTGTTTTCTCAGAATGAATGACTTCAGCAGGTTTTTTCAAGGATAATATTTTAAAAAGCCCTTTTAAATAGAAAAAGTAAAGCAGTATCAAAACCAAGTCATACTTTATTGATTTGAAAAGTACTGTTTTCCTTAGAACCACAAAATGAAAAATAATGGAAATGACCATACAGTAAGGATGGAAAATCTGCAACACATCTTTGTTTTGTGCATCTTAGAGGTCCCATGATTGCAGAAAAGTAGCAGCGTAATTTCCACCAGTTTGTGATTCAAATACAGAAAAAATGTAGTGTATACTTTAAAATAAGCATATTAATGCACAAACTTTCCAAAACTTCATTCCCCCTAGAAATAGGAGATATGTTTTCACCCACTTTCTTAATTCCGTTAATGCTTAGTACAGCCATTATTCATCAAAATTAGTCACAAAACCTCCAAAACTCTTTAGTAGAAACAAAGAAACATAAACAGTCCCTTCTTACTAACTGCTTTATTTAGTGACTATTTCAATTTACTTTAGTTCCTTATTTTTCTATGTTTGCTGTAATTTTGCATTTAAACTTTCTAGTTTTGAAATCAATCTATCTTTCTATCTATCTATCTATCTATCTATCTATCTATCTATCTATCTATCTATCTATCTATTCGAAGTTACAATGATTGAAAAAAATCAATCCTTGCATTGAGGTGTAGCATACTGTAGTCACATCATCACTCAGTTGCTTTGCAACTGGCACACTTTTACAACTTGCGCAATGTTTTCTGATTATACAGCTCAATTGTGAAAAAAGTGTTTCACAATTTTCAAAAAAGTCATAAATACATGAATAAAAAATATAGGTTTGAAAAGTAAAATATTACTTAAAAATTAAGCAAACTCAAAAGTTGGAGAAATCAATCTCACAAAGTCAGAGAAAACTCTCAAAAGGAAACTTAGATGTTGGGCACATCCAACTGTATCTTTTTGTTGCTTCTACCAATTAATGGTGAAATATAAGTCAGCCTGATTTAAACAATTTGAAGCATTCACTAGCTTATTTCTAACAAGTGTGCATAGGATTAAAGTCAACAAAACAGAATACAAAAATGAATTCTACATTCATTATCATCACCCATAAAAATAAATGGAATCATTCATGCAATAGAGATTTGTCAGTGTCCAGATTATTTCAGTAAATATAGCACATCTAATTTTGATATTTGTAAAGTGCAACATACACAGAAGAAATGGTTCTGAAGCACCACAATAATTTCTTTGGTCAACTCCAAATTGCTAAGAACAAAATCTAAATTTAAGATTTTTGTTATGAATAATAATAGGTTTTCAATTCCTGAAATCCCTTTATTGCATTAATGTGAGATAAATACAGTGGTGGGATTCAGCCAGTTCGCACCACTTCGGGAGAACCAGTTATTAACTTTCTGAGCAGTTTGGCAAACTGGTTATTGGAAGAAATCATTAGGGCAGAGAAGCGGTTGTTAAATTACTTGAATCCCACCACTGGATAAATGGATAGTAATTTGAGTGAACCTGACTGATACAAGGCAGCAAACATTAAAAAAAAAGAATTAACGAAAAAAAAAGTTAAAGTAATGGAGGCTCTGGTATTTATCATTTCCTCAGACATGTCTATCTGTCAAAAATAAAAGTTAAAAATAAAAATAAAAAAGGTCTGACCAGGTATCTAAGACTGACAATGCTTGTTGTTTTCACACTGTTAATTTACTTTGTTGATTAACCCATAGGTCATATCACAACGCAGAGTTCCAAACAAAAATTGTTAGTAAAATCCGATAAAAACAATGTAAAATGGAATTGGAATAAAATACATTTTAAAATGAAACTGGAATAAAATACAATAATTTAATATATAGATAAATAAAATAAAATTACATTTCAGAATCATTCCTACAATCTACCCCAATCAGTTCCACATATGCTGATCTCAACTGAATCATTTTGCTCAAGTACTGTGCCATATTAAATGTTGTTTTCAAATTCTGGCTGCACATAAGGTAAGTTGTTTTGATATGGAGTTCCCAATCGGTCATTAATTTAGTATATAGACCAAGGTCTATATACCTGTCTCTTGCCCTCTTATAAAGGCAACAATCAAATAGGATGTGAGCCAGTTCTTCTACCTCTGTTGCTCCGCAAATGCAGAGACATCCATTATAGCGTATAGAATGGAATCTCCCATATCTGACCATTGTCTCAAGCTGTTCGAATCTTGCTCACATAAATATCCCCCTAAGATGTATGGCAATTGTAACTTTAAGTAGCTATCTATTTGAAAAGTACGTTTATATTCGCTCAGCCATTTCAAGTTACCCACCTTACTAAGGATAGCTATATCATTTTGTGCTTCTATATCCTTGATTCTTTGAACAGCTCTTTTTTTAACTTGTTCTTCTGTTACACAAGAGACAGGAAGACCACAGCTTCTTACCAAATTTGTCAGTTTAGTGATCCAAGAGGTTTGTAACTGTGATTTTATCTGCTCTAATAAACATAACTTGGGGAGTCTATAATATCTATTTCGTTGATTTTGTGCCAGTAGTTATGCTCTGATTTTAGACAGTGCATGAATTGTATAAATTCCCAATTCATCTCTAACTGCTGCAGCAAATGTCCTTAGATCTACACCCAAAATCCATCTCAGGTGCTGGGACCATGTTTGTTCTAATACTATAGAAGAATATAGACCCCCAAACTTCTGCTCCATACAAGAGCAAGGGGTTAGCATTAGCTATATATATTTTAATTAATAGGGCTAGGGACCCTGGGTAACTATGATTCTTTAATTTAAGCAGTAAATTCAAACAAGCTTTTGCTCTAAGTGTACTCCATTGATGAGGGCAAATCCAAGACTCAGTCTTGGAAAAAAGTTATGTATAAATATACAAAGATGTTAACCTATTTAATTGATTTACTATCTAATTGCCACTTATGTTTCTGATGATGTTTTCCAAACACCATAATTTTTGATTTAGATTTACTAATAGTTAGAGTTATCCTGACAGTTGGAGCTAAATCTTCTTAATAGCCTAATAGTAAGGGTGATCTGGCTGCGACATCTGTCATCCCATTGATTGCCAGGGTTGATTCAGCTTGTTGTTTTGTTGTACTCAATGAATAGGTGCTGTGATTTGAATATGAACATTTATATCTACATTTGTTTGTCTAGGTGAAGATAGGATATATATTCTAAAAATAAATTAGCATTCAAAGAGGTTCGCTTCATTGATACAATGAGTAATGCAAATTATGATAGCTGACTATACTAAGCATTCTCTCAGAATATCTTGCATAGTATTGTAGCATAGGTAAGTGGATAAATTACTAGACCAATTTGGTTTTATGGAATGGCATTTAGATGATCTGTTCATGTAATCTGAATGCAAAAAAATAACAGCTCTTACCTCCATTATCTTTTAGGTGTAGAGCTATCTTGGTATCATCTAGAAAAAGAAATTCAAAGCTATTAGAGAAAGGAATTTTATCTAAACATCTAATGCTATGTTTATATAGCATTTTACATTTATTTAGCATTTATAGAAGTCTACTGGAAGTAATTGATACACGATCATAATGGGTTATATGTTTAAAATGATTTTAAACAAATGTGACACTCTTGAATAAGAGTTAGCAGAGTAGTCCTATGAATCAGTGAGGAATTTAAAAAAGGCTTCTATAGCAGTTCATGTTTGCATTAAAGATCTGGCTCTATAACTATTATACAAAATTTTTAGAGCTGATCTTATGCTATTTCGAAGTCATTGGTGAGATTTATCTTTAAAACTGCTATATTAAAATTTTCTGAATTATACTACAGCAATGAAAGGTAATATTACAAAATGGATTTAGGAAAACACGATGAGCTAAGATGATGTGGAGAGTGTTTTTCTTTTCTCTTTTTCAATTGGGAAGAGGGCAGTCAAGATAAAAATATCTGAACATTGGAGAAGAAATTTACCAATCCTGATTGTCTAAAACATTGCTGATTCTTCAGTTAAAAGGATTTACTTGATTTGATTCTGAGGTAGTCACAATTGGGCAGCTGCTTGAAGAGGGTTGTTTATTCAACCACATACCATGAAGTATAGCAATCAAAGGTAGGCTATAAAGTTTGGAAAGCTAAGAGTAAAAGTATTTATAGTAATAATAGGCTTTGATCATGAAGTAATGGCCTTTGAGTTGAGACATTTTAGATGTGTAAATTTAAGCTGTGTTTCCTGTCCAGTGAAGTCCGAAGAGGAAGATCATCCCTGGCATTGGGGATTATGAATATTTTAGAAATGTAGATCTTCTCCTAGGTATGGATTTTTTTTTTTTTTATGAGAAGTTTGATTTCGGCATAATATTGTGTAAAAAAAAAAATCTCTTGAGAAAATTCTATTTTATGTTGTTTTCTGGTGCCAGAACAGCACACTTATTTTGAGGCTTCGCTGGCAGAACACATGGAGTTGAAGTTGATGTGTGATTTTGCTAAGGGGTGAGTATGTCATAGGGGCTTTTATTTTCCAATGCTTTTTACATGTGAAGCGATGTAACTAGATAGGAAGAATGTCCTGTGTTTCTGAGGCTATTATGTGGCACATCATGAAATAGCAGTCAACAATGAATGGTACAACATCACCAAACATCACCACTGATGACTCAGTGGTTATAATGCAACACTGCAGACCAACACTGCCCACAACCTAATGAGCTCAAGACTGACTCAGCCTTCCATACTTCCGAGGTTGGTAAAATAAGGAACCAGATTGTTGGGGGTAATATGTTGATGTTGTAAACCACCCAGAGAGTGTTGTAAAGCACTATATGTATATGTATGTCTAAGTGTTATTGCTATTGTTATAACACTGAAAAAAGGAACCACCATTTGACTTGCTCAACAACCTCAAATGTACATTCCTTTCTCTCCTTGAGGAAGCAATATGTTTGCTAAGACAAGTGAAGAACGACTGGCCTGCAGCTCACCTAAGCACAGTGAGCGGCATTGCTTCAAGATGCTGTGTATGTTTGAATCAGGTCATATATGCAGGTCTGCATATGGATGGAATGGGAATGCAGGCAAAAATACTTTGCTGCCTAAGACTAAATTCACTGTGGTTAATACCATTCAAGATATTCTAATCCATGAGGCAGAAAATCCTACAAATATATTTTCCTTTTCCTAGAGGGAAAATTAAAATAGAAATGAAGCAAGCAATTAATTATTTGTTACATGCATGGTAGGGCCCAGCTGAGCCAAGCAAGGCAGGGTGCATGCCAGCGTTGAATTGTATCCCCAACACATTTCTAAGTAATAATAATACTTGGTAGCAAAGCTGATTAGATATTTAATATCATGCCATAATCTTTGATTGCACTTTCTGGAATAGCTGAAATCATATTGTAGGGAAGAAAATAACAGTAAAAAAGGGAAATAACAAAATTGTAAACAAGCATAAAGAAGCAAAGACTTTTTTCTTAAACTCTGGGTGATATTTTGCACTCCTGGAATCATTTCTTTTCCTCCAAAAATTTCTGGAAAAAAAATCTGGAACTGTTTCGTACAGGATAGGTGCAGTACAAAAAAATTGGCAGAACTAATTCAGATGTGAGCTTTAGAACATCTTTTCATGTTCCACAGGAGCAGTATCTATCTAATCTACTAATTTTATGAGTTTTGTCTCATCTTCAGAAGTCGGGATCATTTGATTCTGCTGCATAAGCAACCATTTATATCATTTTCCCCACACTGTGATACTTTCACCTTTCTACTATTACCGCTAAGAACTAGTACTATAGAAATAAAGCTCAAAAGCTTATGTTGACAGCGCTTAAACCTATCTTTCAGGTTCTTGCACTCAAAAATAGTCCTTTGCATTAGGAGACATCTATTTGTGTTATCTTTGCAGGATTGAAAAGCTTAAGGTTTCTGTGTAGCTGAAATGCTGTTGAAATGTTTTACAATAACCAATTACATTATAACTATACAATGTCTTGCAACAAACTATTGTTCTATTTTATTAAATTAGCATTGACAATTCAAAATTAAAACTATTTCATACAGATAGTCCTCAATGCATGGGCTACAATTGAGCCCAAAATTTCCATTGCTAAGCCAGATAGTTGTTATGTGCATTTTGCTCCATTTTATAACTTTTCTTGCAGAGTCGTTAAGTGAATCACTGCAGTTGTTAAGTTACTAATACAGTTACCCATGTTTCCCTGAAAATAAGACCCTGTCTTATATTTTTTTGAACCCTGAAATAAGCACTTGGCCTTATTGCCATGTGCTCAAAAGCCCGATTGGGCTTATTATTAGGAGATGTCTTATTTTGGGTGAAACAGGGTAAATGAATCTGGCTTCCCATAGACTTTGCTTGTCAGAAGGTTGCAAAAGTGACCACATGACTCCAGGACACTGTAACCGTCATAAACACATGCTAGTTGCCAAGTGTCCAAATTTTGATCACATGACCGTGGGGATGCCACAAAGCTGATAAGTGTGAAACATGGTCATAAGTCACTTTTTTCAGTGCAATTGCAACTTTAAACAGTCAGTAAACAAATGATTGTAAATCGAGGACTACCCGTATTCTCTTCTCCCAAAGATGGAGATAGAGAGGGAAAAAAAACCTAATACCTGACTAGATAGTTAATATATTGTGATAATTACAACCTCATGGATATACCATTCATTCTTGAATTGAAGCCAAGAAGTTACATTTAAATTAGTACATGTCAAATAAATAAGATCTATTTTATTTTTAAAAAACAATAGACAAGATTGTACACAACAGTTTGCACATCATGGAAATTGTAATGGCAGATCTGCTAAAATATTTTTTAAAATATTATGCAGTTTTTCAAGTACCAATTCATGCTATCTATTTTCTATAGTAGTTTACATTTTCATTACCCCACCCTCTGGGCTTTCAGGTATATTTCCCTATTCATGAATATTTATACAAAATTTCTGTAGGCTCCTTCTTGATGCCTACTTTTTGTATGTTAATTCTTGTAATTTGTGTATATTATTTAAGTTATTTTTTAAAACATTCTTCTATTCAGTTTACTAAAGCTGGGTTGTAAATAATATTATAACCGTCACATTATCAAAAGAAGTGTTTCATTCTAAATATTGCACACTTTTACAAGATACTGATTTAATATTAAACATGTCAGGAAAACACTATACAATACCTGTAACTGACCAAGTACTCTTACAACGGAAATGTGTAAGAGAACTGGTAGTAAAACTGGCGGGAGGGTCCACCCATTGATCCTGACATCATGAAAATGCTTCTGCGCTTGTGCAGAAGAGCGCGTATGAAGCGATCGCATGCACGCAGCCCCATTGAAACCGGTAGTAAAGATAAGTAGAACCCACCCCTGCAGCACTTAATACATCTGGGAAACAGCCCAAACAGTACATACTACTTGTAATTCACACAGTTCTTTTATACCAGCACTTAATACATTTGGGAAATATATAGCAAAATACTCACCTTTTCATGAAAGCTAATAATCTCCAACAGTATTTTTGGCTACTAAGGATGTTAAAATACTTCAAAAAATAAAAGTTTCAATGTAAAAGATCCCAATGACTCCAAATCACTGGTTCTAAAATATTGAGTTAATATTTAAATAACCATGAAAGTATCCTAGCTTTATGGACCCGTTGATGCTACTTAATTATACTGAAGGTCAATTACAATCTAAATCAGGATTAGAATTAAACTTATTTATTATAAATTATTGAAAGATTTTGTTTATAGAGGTAGGGAGTTTTGGACCACGGTCTTTGGTATCATAATATAATTGCATTACTGAAGGATTACATCTCCCGAGTAGGTACATTTCATGTGACAGAATCATACTACAAATTTTAAACATTTCTGATAACATAATCGACTCTAGTTTCTTACCTTCCGTGGGTAGACTAGTTGGCAGATATGATGTAATGGTTCCTTTGGTAGTTGTTAAAACTCTGTATCTCATTGTGGTTTGCTGTAGTGCAGTTGTGATATGAAGAGGCATTTGAGTTGTGTCTGTTTTCTCACAAATCTTATTTTTTGACTGCATAAAAAAAATAATATGAAGAAAGGAAAAAATTGGTTCTCAGTAGAAGTCATTCGTCTAAGCTCTACAGACATCTAACACAAACGCAAGAATATGTCAAAATGAAAATTTTAAATTAAGACTTTGCAAATATAAATATCGTATATTTTCTGGCTAAAAGAGAATTAACATCTCAATAAAGGATAGAGAAGCTCAAGCTCTAAACATTATAAGAATATTTATTTGCCACTAAAGAACTGAAAAGAACTGAAAAATTCAGAATGAAATAGTTCATTGTATTACTTTTTTCTCCCAAATTGAGGTTTGGCTCTGAGATTAAATTGGTTCTCTTTTTGCAAGACCTTAAAGACATGGTTTTGTCACAGAGCCTAGGAATCTTGGTGTCTTGAGCCTTTGCAATGGTTTTTCTGATTTGTGCTGCAGATTTTTATATTGGTTGCAGATTATGTGTATTGTATGCTGTTGTTTCTTTTTTCGCTTTATGCTCTTATACTATTGGTAGCCATGTACATATATGAGCATGAAACAAATGGCCATATGAATTACATACATACATACATACATACATACACACAGATTCCAGGGTTAAAATTCAATTCACTTAATTTTATCTTTGAAAAACTTCACTTATACACAAAATCAAGTTAGAGGCTTTCCCATCAAATGAACCTCTGGGTTCTTCAATATCTTTTTCAATACTGACATCCAAGCAAACTAATAAATAAAATAATGGTATATATCAATGCTATTTTTTAATAGAAAAAAATAAGTAAATGTCTCCAATAATTGTTCTTCCATCACACAACGTCCAAGCTACTGTAGATAAAAATTTATTTCAGTTTGGGATGGCAATTCTGGTTAGTTTTTCATATTCAAAACATGTGATTAGGACACATAGAAGTACATTTGGATTCAACACAGATGCTCATGATGTAAGTGACAGAACAGATGTTCATCTGCCAACAGTGATTTTCTAAGGGAGAAAGATAAATCTAGAAATTGCCTTTAAATACTGTTCAGAGAAGCTTTATTCCTCTAACAGGGCTTTAGTCAAGATACCCTCTTCTTTTTAAGAATCAACTATTCATAATATAAATATAGGATATCTGAATATCACCTCTTCAGGACAACCACTATCTACCCAATCTTGACGATGACGATCAAAGCCACTGGAACACCTTAAAAAATAAAAAGAGATTAAAATAAATCAGATGACAGTGAAACATGGATTAGATGGGTAAAGAGGGAGAAAAAGGAGAAAAAGCAACGTCACTTCTATGCAGCTAATTCTGTATGATTAAGAGGTTATTCACTTCATTTGAAAAAAATTTTTGACTAAAAATGATTGGTGTTTCCTGCAAGAATTAATTTCTATGATTAGACAATTTGGAATGTCATTGCTTTTTGCTCTGGGTAGTTAATAGCTTCATTGTACTTCATACTAAATTAAGGATCGATCCCCAGTCTATGGATTTAAACTAATTTAATTCATTCTCTTCAGACTTTTTCTTCATTTTCTATATTTAAAATACAGCATCCCCCTCCCATAATTCACCAAATACATTATAGCTTTCTTTTCATTATGGTAGATGATAAAGGACACCAGGGCATCCATAACTGTCTGCAAAAGACATGGCAGGTGTTGAACTCATCCCAAAGACTCTCAAAGGCAACTTGGAGGAAATTCTTTGCTTTAAGTTTCATTTTTCATTGCTTGTAATAATTTGTCCCAATTAACTAAAATTAATGAAGCTACTTTTTGCAAAATACAATTTATGATGGGTAATGAATGTATTTTAAAAACAGCTGGTACAATTATTCTTCATGAGAGAGAGGTTAAAATGTTGGACTAGGACCAGGCAGACCCAGGTTCAAGTATACTCTTAAATCATGGACGTTGAATAGATTTGAGCCAGTCATTGTCTCTCTCTGACAAATTACCCTATATGTTTATTGCAGGGGTGAAATGTAAAATTTGTTATTACTGGTTCTGTGGGCGTAATGTGACTGGGTAGGCTTGGCCAACTTTTTTTTTCTGTTAAACTTTTCAAAGCATTTTTTCTAATGCTTTGAAAAGCCTCTGCCGATCAGGCAACTCAGCTGGGATCGTCAGAGACTTTTCAAAGCATTTTTTTTTACCACCTCTTCGGCCAAGAGGTTGCAGACAAAAATGCTTTGAAAAGCCTCTCTGACGATCAGGCAACTCAGCTGGGATCATCAGAGAGGCTTTTTAAAGAATGCCTCTCTGATGATCAGGCATTTTTTTTACCACCTCTTCGGCCAAGAGGTTGCAGAAAAAAGATGCTTTGAAAAGCCTCTGATGATCCCAGCTGAGCCGCGCGATCATCAGAGGCTTTTTTTTTTGTTACTTTTAAAAGCATTTTTTCATCGGAAGAGGTTGTAGAAAAGATGCTTTTAAAAGTTAAAATCCTGATCCCGCGGCTCAGCTGGGCATGGTTGGGGAGGGGGGGTTTGTAGGGATTTTTGCTACCGGTTCTCCGAACCACCCGCCGCCATCGCTACCGGATTGGGCAATACAGTCCGAACCGGGAGCATTTCACCCCTGGTTTGTTGCTATAGGACAAAATGGGTGAAGAAGAAGGGGAAAGGCATGTCTTTTCAAGCTCTTGGAGGAACAGCTGAGTATAAATCTACTAAATAAAATAGGAATTGCCATAAAATGAACTTGATATCCTAGAGTGGCACTATGAATCAATTTATATTGTTACATTTAGTATATCAAGCTTAATATATTTCCAACTTCCAATAATAAAGATTAAACCAGCAGAATTTTAAAACAAGAATGTATTTTATAGCTGTGATTTTTTTAATGTTTAAAAGTATTTATTTTCTTGATCACAAATGATTTTCAAGAAAACTTGATTCCAACTGAATAGACTATCCCTTTAAAAGCAACATTCACTGGAAAACCTTTCTTCTGTCATAATGATTATATAGATATTTAGTGTGTCTTTAAGTAATAAAGCTAGGCGGGTAATTAGGGAATTGAAGAAACAAGAGATGTGAAATGTCATAATTGTTTAGATTAGGATTGATTATGATTGTTGAAGTTTATACCCTGTAATTTGTTCTGGGAAGGGGAGGGGGGGAGGGGGGAGGTTGAGGTAGGGAAGGGGGGAGAAATATGTAAACTTTTTGTAAAACTTTTCAATAAAAAAAAAAAGCAACATTCAGAACTTGCATGAGAAAAATGAAATAACTAAATAAATAGCAATAGGATGTGTGTGTGTGTGTGCTGTGTGTGTGTCTGGGTGTGTATACATTGAGTTTAAAAGCATAATTTAAATAGTTTTAGACTTTCAGATGCAAATTGCACATTCCCATTGAATAGACAGGCATCTTTCAGAAGGCTGGTCTACAGCTTTGACATCTTAATTGAGTAGGTTCTGTCTCCTTTAGCCATACCACACACTATGTCTATTCAGAAGACTACCCTCAGAGACTAAGTAAGCTTGGCTGGGAGCTACCTGGTACTGATACAAAAAGGTCAGTGGTACACATGGAGAAATAAACGGTGGCTTGCATATTCAGCTATTGATTTGCTCAGCTTTCAAGGCCTATCAGAAAAGCTTGGATTCATTCTATAATTCAGAAAATGCTTATAAAGGAAGTTAAACGTGCTGATGACATAAAAGACACTACACTAATTTTGCAATATTAAAACTGGATTTTTGTTTACTCTTGTCTCCTGTTCTATCTACAAAAATTGAAGGCCCTACCGAAGCAGCTAATCTTTGTTTATTAACTGCATGGCTCAACTGCCTGAGTGGAAGAGAAAAAAAAATGCTTTGCAAGAATAAGTTGAAGTAGATGACCTCAGGGAAGCAAATGTTTTTAGGAAACCTGCTTGTTCAACATTCACTGTTTATGCACTGATAGGCCTAAATAGCTCATTGAAATGCTGTTTAGAAAAGCAATATGGCTTTGAAGGTTTCCAAATGAAGGTATCTGCAAAATATTTCCAAGGCGTATGTCATAGACCCATCAGTCACGGAGCATATACTCATTCTTGCGTCTCCAATTTATGACTCCACAAGCCATCATTACAATGCATTTTCTACTTAGAACAGAACATTTAATAAGCCTTTCCATTTACTGGCACAGTGATAATTCCCCTTTGCCATGAAAACACCATGGCAGATTTGATTAGTAATGCCACTTGTACCATCTGTCAACATAGCTGTTTTATAACAACTTCATTCTCAAAGAATGACCCAAGTTTGCTCCTGGTAAAGCAATTAACAGACCATATTCTAGACATGAGAAAAGAACCTTTTCTGAGATGAACAGAAAATCCTCTGCTTTTCTGTTTATAGGGAACACAGAAAATGTAATTTTGGAAATCGCAGTGGGATGCAAGAAATGTTTACAGACTGTGATAGTTTGATTTGGCTAGTGGCTCTTAGTGGAGCACTGCAGGGAACAGAGTTGATGTCTTCCAGAATGGTGAATGTGAGAGACAAAATGAAGTTGTAAATAATCCTTGTAGGGGTCATTTGTTCCTATTCATAGTACAAAGAAAAGAGCTGGGTGTCTTTATTTACTAAGCTACCTAAAAGTTCTTGTCTTCCAGTTTTAGAGAGAGCAGAGGAGAGATGTCAACAAATGTTAGTCCAAAACCAAGAAGCTTTTAAAAGGGATCTGACAAATTAAAATCGTGTAGTATTATTCATCTTAGAAAGTTATTGACATAGGGGAAAACAAAACTAAAGCAAAATCATTTGTTGTGTTTATGCAAGTCTTCTTTGCCAGAATTTAGAATAATGCCCTGACTTCTCTTATTCGACATTCAGTTTTATCTTTATAAAATTCCTGTATATTAGATCAGGCTGAAAAATAGAAATTTCATAATTGAGTGGATGGGTGGATAGGAATTTGTGCTAGATCAGCCCTCTGCGCATTGCATTGGCTCTGGGAAACTCAATTTTCATCACTGAAATTCAGCAGCAAGCTTATTCTACCCACTTTATCAAAATGTAGGAAAGGTGCCAAAGTTTGAATGAATATATACCAAATATTTGCTGAATAATTTAAATATGTAAAACTTACAATTTGAATCATACTGACTTAGCACTAAAACTTTTCTCATATACAACACTTGGCATGTAATTTTTTATGTTTCTGGCTAGAAAGCTGCTATCTTCAATGGAATTGCTCATGACTAGCAAAACTACAGGAATTGACTTTGTTATGGGCCTTAAGACATTACTAATTGTTTCAATGGCAACTCAATACATGAATTTTATCCTTGATTTAGCCTCATTTTTGTTTTAAATACTGTACTATTTCTTGCGATAAGATCCAAGAACTACCATGTTTACGGAAGGAATCTTGTAATTGAATTATGAGTTATTGTTACATAATTATTCATGACTATTGAAACCTGTAAAGAGAGTATATTTCAGTAGCTGAGAATACCAGTGGAGTATCAGTATATGCAATTCGAATTACTATGATTAAAAAACAAAATTCCATTTTTCTTCTTGATTTTTAATTTTTCTTTATGGGAAGATGTAAACCTATTTAGCACTTCTTTAAGTGAGAGTTCTTCAGTGGAATTTATTTATACATAAATATGCAAAGGATTTTAGCCTAAATGATAATAAAATTATCAAATGTTAAGGATTTCATAGCTGATATAAATTGTTTTTCATAATATGACCCCTAGATGGTTAGATGTTTTGGACCATCACTCCTATAAGCCGAAGAACACAATTCATGATAAATGACAAAAGGAAGAGTAGTCCAAAACACCAGGAGGGCCACAAACTGAAGAAGATTGGATAGTTTGTGCAATACTTCTCATGTTTTTGTAATTATATTTATGATGTTATATAGCTAGTGTTCAGTTACAAATAATTGTCAAAGATAGTGCCAGTGTTTGGCTGACCTTGACATCTTGGAAAATGTCAAGCAGAGTCAGACCTAGTTTGGATTTTGATGAAAGACTAAAGCGCTACAGAATGGTGGTAGCGGACATTCTTTCAAGAAAGGTTGGTATGAAGAGTCATTCTATTTTGTTTTCATAACAACCCAGTAAAGTATACCAAAGTGAACAGTATATATGAACTGGGTCTCCCCAGTGGTGGGATTCAAATAATTTAACAGCTGATTCTCTGCTCTAATGACCAGCTGGGTGGTCATGTGACTGGGTTGG